CTGGCCTGGTCTGGTTTGAAGGTTTGACCTTCTGAAATAAACTGAGAAAGTCCAGCCAGCTTTTCACTTGAGTTAGTGTCTTTTCTGTTCCAATGTAATGTTTACCTTATTTTTTATCTTCATGGGCAATGAGAGTGTTATCAATTTGATGAAGCCTGATCAGATACGTTCTCTAAATAAATAGGCCCTTATTTTTAAAAGCTGGCCAAATCCTTCTGGCTCCTATTTCAAGTGATCTGGAAAGGACACTGGTTGGTCCACTTCTGGTTTAATAATGTATATTGCTGGTCTTTGACCGTAATAAAGATTTTACTTACTTACTTCTGGTTTAAAGATTAACATGATATCAGGCACCTTCAAGCAGGGTGGATTTGGTTCAAATCAAGCCAATTTAAGTCACGATTTAAATCGCGATTTAAATCACTAGTAAAAAGGCTTGATTTAAATCGATTCACTTTAAATCATGATTTTGAAAGTGCAACTGTCAGCTCCCTCCCTCAGCGGCTCCTCCTCTGACCTGTTGTTGAGTGAGTCACCGACAGTCCCAATATGGCAGAATATACAGCCTCCTCATGCTACATAACTAAGTTCCGTTCCACACTGAATAAACTAAATTATTAATGAATCTTAAATAGAAAATTATCTTTAGGTTTTTTTTTTACTCCAGAAGCATTTTATGAAAATGAATTTGATAAAAATAAAAATAAACCGATTTAAATTTTAAAAAATCTGACTTTTTTAAAATCCAATTTTTTGGATTTTTTTTTTTAATCATCAATTTTTATCCTGTCTTCAAGGAAATGTGGACAAGGACTTCATGCTCCAGGTGGGTGTTTTTACTGGTTTCTGGAATCATCAATAATAAAAATAGCAATAGCACCAGTGGCAGGTTTCAATTTATTTTACTACTGATGAGCTTGTGGGCTCGCATGACGCTTCTGCGCATGCGCAGAAGCATCTGGGTGGGTGGGCGGAGCCTCCCACCAGCACCACTACAGGTTCGCCCGATCCGGGGCGAATCAGCAGAAACCCACCTCTGAATAGCACCTAGATTTATTTATACGTCACTCATAGTGTTTTACAGAACTCTCTGGGCAGTTATGTCAGCATCTTGTCCCCAAACAATCTGAGTCCTCATTTTACCACAAAAGGATGGAAGGCTGAGTCAACTTTGAGGCAGTCAGGATCGAACTCCAGGATGTGGACAGAGTTTGCCTGCAATGCTATATTCTAACCATTGCGCCACCACTAAAAAGATTTAACTGGGTTCCTTGGTAGCTGAGCAGGTAAACATGGTATGGAAACTGGGCCATAGGAAGAAGAAAGGGGAAGTGTGGGGAAGAGTTCATTGAGTGTGACAGAAGCCCCACTTCTCTCAAAATAACACCTCAAGTGTCATGATGTCACCAAGGCAATGCTGCAATTTTGTTTTGTCAACCCAGATTTCAAGTTCAGCCTGTTAATATCGTCAGAGGAAAAATTGAGTCAACAAGCAACCTCTCATCTTGAATTTTTTTTAAAAAAGAAGCAAAGAAAGTTGACAGGGGGAATATTTCACATGACCAAGAACAGAGGAATTTACAAACACCCATTTAAAGGGGGACAATTCAGCCTTTTGGCTAGAAAACCCCCCAAACAATTTGGTCAACAGGTGGAGCTTAATAATCTCACACCAACAGAGAGTTTTGACACTTTCATTTTGTTTTGATCCAATATCAATTTTATTCTTAACTACTTTAGCAATAGCAATAGCAATAGCAGTTAGACTTATATACCGCTTCATAGGGCTTTCAGCCCTCTCTAAGCGGTTTACAGAGTCAGCATATCGCCCCCAACCACAATCAGGGTTCTCATTTTACCCACCTCGGA